TTAATAACCCAACTTTTTGATTAGCACAAACCTCTAAAAATCTAAAAATCTATTGAACTTGAGGAGATGAAGTTGAAGATATCTTCTATATATATTAAATGTGAAGCATTTTTGAATTAATTTGTCTAGGTGCTAAACTCTCAATTTTTTTGGGCTTTTAATTAAAAATTTAATCCTATTATTAATTTTCTACTATGTTACTACCCAAACACTCTTCAATCCTATTTATTCTCTACTATACTATTATTCAAACACTACTCAATCACACAATCCTTCCAACCAAACATCATTATAAAACAATTTTTTTATTTGTTTTCTAGAACCGAAAATAAAATAAAGTTTACTATTAATATTCACTTAATCTTATAATTACCTTAAACCTATACAATTCAATTCATATTTAAAATCTTTTATCTGTATATTTGAGATATAAACCGTATTTTTAAAAATTATGATATTAAATAAATACATTTTATTAGTTAGTGATATATATTAACTAAAAACAAAAACAATTTTTTTTTTAATTATTTCAGTGGTGGTTTACATTTCTATACAAAATAATTGCATTTAATGTGTTAATTAACAACTCTGTAGCCTATCTTTGTTGTTATATGCCCAAATTGTGATTTGTTTTCTCGTACCGATCTCCGATTGTTGAAAAGGAAAACTCTTTCATGACAAAAAAAAAAAACTCTTTAGATTGTGAAAACAACCGCTTTACCTAGACAGAGAATTGTGATCAAGAGATAGAGGTTATCGAATTTTTCACCATCTTCAACCAAAAACTTTCTATTCTCCTCTTCTGGACTTGGGTTCTTTTCTATTAGTGCACATGGACTCATTTCAACGTCCACGGAGTAAAAATCCCTAAGAATGTGTTGTGGTCTAACATGACCAGCTCTAGACTTGTCCACTTTTCCTTTTACTCCCGCCAATAGCAACATTACCTCAAGTGACACGAATATATATCCATCAAACCTAAGCAGCTTATCCCCATTGCTGCTTTTACAAGCCATGTAATACCCTTGTAGAGCTATCATGTGCATGGCGCGTGCAATCATCAAGTTAGATAAGAAATGTAATGTTCAGTCTTTACAACTGAAATTTGTGATTGCAGTTTGTACTTTGTAGTCTATATACACATAGAGATTTGTAATATATTTGAATCTTGATAATGTATTATACTATTATCATGACTTAGATGTATGAATTAGAGAACAAAGAGTGCTTGCAGTATGCTTAATTAGTTAAAACTTGTGGAATGGTCATGTTAAAGTACACAAAATTGCAAGATTATCTTCATTTCAAAGAGAGACCACTTCAGCACAATGGGTGATTCGAAGGTGACCTCAAATTTATGAAAAACGAGATTATAATGTGATTATTTTGATGTTCATGATGGGACATACTTTACCATTACTAAGTGATAAAGGGAGAAGGCAAACATTGGGGCCATTGGAATCAGCTTTGCTCTCTGAAAAAAAAACAATGACATCTTTGGTCTCTAGCCTAAGAACCAAATAGATCAAAGTTCATTTAAGGTTGTGAAGAGTTGCTAAAGAATAAGTAATGGTTACACAAAAGCATATGTATATATAATATGCAAGGAAGGATTATGATTCAACTATAGCCAAGAGTCTTTTACTTTTGGAAGACAAAATATGTTTTCCTCTGATTTGGCTATTTAAAGATTTCAAGTGCAGCTGATCATAACTTTGAAAGGAAGGAACATTTTGTTAGCCAACTCATGTTTCATGTTACCAATATGCTCTTAATATAAGTGGTTAAGGTTACTTATCTTCCAAGTAAGCTTTTCCAAGGCTACATGAGCCTCTAGTTCCAATCTTATGCTCTATGTTAGGGAGCAATGACTAAACTACCAGAAACCTCATTTATGGGCTTCAGATGGACTTAACAACCCGAAAATCTCATTTGTTTGGTTTTTTAAACTCCATCTTTCGATTCACATATGATTGATTCATTCTAAAAACTTGAGAAATTTATTAATTTGCAAAGAATTTTTTTTATAGAAAAAATTTTGTTATAAATGTTTGAGGACTCCAGTAGTTTTTCTAAATTTCTGTAAAATCTTTCAACTCCTTAATGTAAAATTTTGATCTAATGTGTTGTTTTAAGAACAGTAACTTTTAGTCGACCATTAATAGTTTATAACTTAATCCATTTTTTCAAATGGTTCTTGTCTTGTGTAGACGACGAGCCAAGCCCAAGCCACAGTTTTTGAATGCCTTGCGCAGCCTAGGACTAGATAACCGCCACGGTTTGTGGACGCCTAATTGCCGGCTAAATAAAAGTTGTGCACTCCGATTCTTATCCTTTTATGGTATAATTTCTTCCGCACTCAGATTCCGACCCACAAGGCTGAAGCATCCCGTACGGTCATTGAAGGCTCTTCTGACTCAATGCGATCAATATCCTTACCAAAGTGTCCTTGTACCTTATGTAGAAAACCGCATTTTTGGCGTTGAGTAGTCTCTCCTCATTCACATGTTCCGTAGTATTTTCTATAGCCACTTTAATTTGACAGTTCTCAAGTTGGACAGATCTTGATTTAGGGTTTGTTGTGGACGCCTAAACGCCGGTTTAAAAAATTTTGATAACCGTATCGTGATGTGTAACCCTTGGCCTCGAACGGATCAATCTGACAAACGAAGCGATTGGGTTACAAGAGTTGCAATCAATAAAGAAGAAGAGATACCTCGGCGCTCTTCTTATAAGCAAGTCTCTCCGCTTCTGAAATACGGCAACCTAGTATTCCACATATTCGACGGGCCTTTTACCATCTGCTTTGCTTTGACCTGCTTCTTCCTCTCGATCTGGATTTAGGGTTTCCAAATTCTCAATGTGATCTCATTAGGGCTTGTCCAGAAATCTCATTCCTTTGATTCCAAGTTATATGTATGGGCTTCGGTTGGGCCTTCACCATCCTAATATCTCATTCGTTCGAGTTTTTTCTAATAATCTTTTTTCCATCTACAAAAGCATATATATATAACTCAACTGAAGATGCAAGGAAGCAAGGATTGTGATTCAACTGAAGCCAAGACAAAATATGGTTTTCTTCGGATTTTGTTATTTAAAGATTTCAAATGAAGCTGATCATGAAGGAACATTTTGTCAAAAATGCTCATGTTTCATGTGGCATTGATTCACATTGACATGGCTAATGCAAGCAAAATCAATAAAAATTGAACAAATTAATCTAGGCTTGCAGTGGAGAAAATTGGCTTCATGGTCTTTATTATAGACACATCTAGACATTGTTACCTTGGAAGCTAACTTAGCTTTTCCAAAGCTAGATGAGCCTTTAATTCCAATCTTATGCTCTATGGTAGGGACTAATTAATGATTAAACTACCAAGTAAGAGAAACAAAATGTTTCTCGTGTAATAAAAATGTTTACCACTTCCAATATGTGTATACATTAACGACATGCAAACTTGAAGGAAACTTTATTTATCCACAGTGATATTCACAAGAGTTGCCTAATTGCATCTTTTGGCTTTAATCTATCAATGCCCAATTTTAGAGTCCCCTTCTCTTTTGGATGGATATATCATCATATATATATGTTAATCTGATACTTTTCTTTTCTCTTTCAAACATCTGACCAAATCATGTTGACATT